GCCTGTTTCTCCTGAGTTCACGGCCTTTGGGGAAGAGGAAAACAAATTTTTTAAAGGCTCTGTCAATTGGCTTTACTTACCCAAGAGCCTACTAATACAACACAGTACTGTCATCCTATTTAATGGGTCTCTCTTTTTTTTTTTTTTTTTTAATTTTTAATGCTCATTTTTTTCTGAGAGACAGAGAGAGACAGAGCATGAACAGGGGAGGAGCAGAGAGAGAAGGAGACAACGGAATTGGAAGTAGGCTCCAGGCTCTGAGCTGTCAGCACAGAGCCCAGTGCAGGGCTCGAACTCATGGACCACGAGATCATGACTTGAGCCAAAGTTGGACACTTAACCAACTGAGCCACCCAGGTGCCCCTTAAGGGGTCTCTTTTTAGAGGATTTCTTCTTTCTTTTTCTTTTTTTTAAGATTTTATTTTTAAGTGACTCAGCACCCAACGTGGGGCTCGAACTCACAACACCAAGATCAAGAGTCACACACTCCACCCCCCTAGATGATGTCTTTTTGTTTCTTTGTTTAAGTTTATGTATTTATTTTGAGAGAGACAGAGCGTGCTCGAGGAGGAGAAAAGAGACAGGAGAGAGAGAATCCCAAGCAGGCTGTAATGTCCGCCCAGAGCCCGACGTGGGTCTCGAACCCTTGAACTGTGTGAGACCATGACCCGAGCCAAAACCAAGAGTCAGATGCTTAACCGACTGAGCCACCCTGGGTGCCTCTGATTTCTTTATTTGAAGCATTACTATGTACGGTAGAAAACAAACCAAAAGCGTTCTCTTATAGGCTTGTCACCAAGCAGTGGGCCTGGAAGGGTGCCAGGGAATTCATATGGGTTGGGCCGACTTGTTCCTAAACCATTCTAGAACATATCTGTTTATTTTCAAGATGATGATTTAAAAAATATTTGCCAGCCTTCCTCGGTGGCCTGTGATACTCTTTAATAACACCCACTTCCTTTTGTTTAACTAAAATAATAAAAGTCCAGAGAGATGAAACTTTCCCAGCAAGGCTGCTGGTCAGTAAATATTACTTGCTTACTCTGCACTTGCTTTGTCTTCCAGGACCAACGATAAAGAATGATGTGGGAGCCCTAAACTGCCATCTCCTGGCAATAGTCTCTTGTTATTATGAACATTAAGGATGTAGATTAAGGATGTGGTTTCTCAAAGGGACTTAAGTATTTGGGGCATGGTTCCAAGGACATTGTGTTCTTCTGGACCTCAACCACGGCTTCTGTGTATAAAGACACTGCTGTAGAGATTAAAGGCCACTCTGGAAGGGTGGGAAGGTTTCAGAGTATAGGCACAACATGAACTTGACCTTTACTCGAGATTTTTTTTTCCGTTATTTTTAAGGAGCAGCAGCCGTTTGGAAGTATGGCAGAAGGGCTGCCATGTTTGTGAGAAAACCGTACAATCCCATTTGAGAGAGTGAGAAGGTCTGGTTTGTGGGCCACTCTCACTCCATCAAGAGACAGCTCTGGGACGTGCACTACTTTAGAGATTCACACATGTAGAAAGTTGTGTCAAGTCTAGAAGCAGGCCATGGAGGCAGTAAGCCTTCTGGGGGTTTCTGACAGAGGTAGAGGTTACATGTAGGTGCCTGTTCCCATATACATGCATTTCTTGAGCGGATTGTGGTTTCCTGTGGTATAAGAGCAGAGAGGACGCCTGGGGGGCTCAGACGGTTGAGCGTCCGACGTCAGCTTGGGTCATGATCTCACGGTTCGTGGGTTCGAGCCCCGCATTGGGCTCTGTGCTGACAGCTCGGAGCCTGGAGCCTGCTTCAGATTCTGTGTCTCCCTCTGTCTCCGCCCCTCCCCTGCTCATGTTCTGATTCTCTTTCAAAATAAATAAACATTAAAAAAATTTTTTAAAAGAGCAGAGAAGCCAGATACGAAGGGTGAAGCTAATTTATGAAAAAATCTGTTCATCAACATGGTACCTCTGCCAACAGAATGGAAATTAATGTCGTGGTGGCGCTTGATGATCTTCTTTTAGAATATTGCATGGCTCCCATTTTTTTTTTTTTTTTTTACAAATAGTTTATTGTCCAATTAGTTTCCACATAACACTCAGTGCTCATCCCCAAAGTGCCCTCCTCCATGCCCACCCCCCTTTCCCCCCACATCCATCAGTCCTCAGTTTTTGTCAGCATTCAAGAGTCTCTCATGGTTTGCCTCTCTCCCTTTCCCCCACCATTTCCCCCCTTCTTCTCCCCCTTGTTCCTCCGTCAAGTTCCTCCTAATCCTCCTATACGTGCAAACATATGATATTTGTCCTTCTCTGCCTGACTTATTTCGCTCAGCATAACACCCTCAAGGTCCATCCATGTTGCTACACATGGCCAGATTTCATTGTTTCTCATTGCCATGTAGTATTCCATGGTATAGATAAACCACATCTTCTTGATCCATTCATCTGTTGATGGACACTTAGGCTCTTTCCATGTTTTAGCTATTGTGGAGAGTGCTGCTTTGAACATTGGGGTACATGTGCTCCTATGCCTCAGCATTTCTGTATCCCTTGGGTAAATTCCTAGCAGTGCTATTGCTGGGTCATAAGGGAGTTCTATTGTTAGTTTCCTGAGGAAACTCCACACTGTTTTCCAGAGGGGCTGTACCAGTTTACATTCCCACCAACAGTGTAGGAGGGTGCCCGTTTCTCCACATCCTCGCCAGCATCTAGAGTTCTCTGATTTGCTCATTTTAGCATGGCTCCCATTTCTAAAAAGATTTCCAGGCTAGACTTTTCCGTCTAGTCTTCTTGAATTCTTTCTTTTTTTTAACTTCATTTATTTTGAGAGAGAGAAAGCACAGGTAGGGGAGGGGCAGAGAGAAGGAGAGACAGAATCTCAAGCAGGCTCAGAGCCATCGGCACAGTCTGATGTGGGGCTTGAACTCCCGAACCATAAGATCATGGCCTGAGCCGAGATCACAAATCAGAAGCTTAGCTGACTGTGCCACCGAGGCGCCCCCATTGAACTGTCTTTATGATACTTTTCTTAATGTCCCCAGATGATTGAGCGTGTTTGTATTTATTATAAAAAAAAAAAACCATTTTTTTCAAAGGACAGATCAGTTTCATATGAGACTCTTGCTTGAGTAAAAACACGTTTTACCAAGAAAAATGTAGTTTTCCTGATCTGAAGGGAAGAATTGTAACGAGAACCAGTTGTTCTGAAGGCTCCCTGTGACCTGTTAAGCCAAGTCTGCCTCCTCTCTGTAGCTGGCTTTGTGTTCTGAGTAAAACGCCTGCCCATTTTCCTCCACACATACTTCAGCGTTCTCCACGGTTGACTCTCTTCCCTCAACGGCCAGCTAATCCTCCCGAGCTGCTTCATCTCCCTCTATACTCCTTAGAAACACAAAAGATGTGTGTGGAAGATTCTAAGCTTTCACATTTCCCAGGTTCTCTTTCATTTAGTTGGGAAGGTTAAGTTGTCCCTAAAACAAATCTACCTCCATATTCTATCAACCAGGTACAAGGCCAGAAAAGGTATGAGCAAAAGTGTTTGGGAACAAGAAATCTCCGCTCTACTATTTTCTAGCTAATATCCCTGGGTGTTACTTTCTTCATTTATAAAATGGAAGTAGTGGGGCGCCTGGGTGGCTCAGTTGGTTGAGCGTCTGACTTCGGCTCGGGTCACAATTTCACAGCTCATGGGTTCGAGCCCCACGTCGGGCTCTGTGCCGACAGTTCAGAACCTGGAGCCTGCTCTGGATTCTGTGTCCTCCCTCTCTCTCTGCCCCTCCCCTGCTCATGCTCCATCTCTGTGTCTCAATAATAAATAAATGTTAACCAAAAAAGTTTTTTTTAATTAAAATGGAAATATTAACAGCGCTTGCCTCCACGAGGGGTTGGAGCGAGATAATGCATATGAAGAGCTTAGCCAGGACCTGGCATGGAGAGAGATCTCAATAAATGTTAGTAATAATGGTGGTGATCGTGGTGGTGCTGATGATAAAGCTTTGGAGTCTCAGAAAGTTGTATTGCCGCATAACAACATCGCGTTTTTCTGATGAGAAATCAGATCACATAATCTGCCAAGGTTATTTGAATTTGCTACTGTGGCAGGCAAAATTAGTTGTCACTTAATGGCTGCCATCTTTTGTTACCACGTTAAAGTGTGTGTGTGTGTGTGTGTGTGTGTGTGCGCGCGCGCGCGCATGCATGCGTGCATGTATGCAAATGCTGTTAGGTCTTGCATCCCTTCCCCAATGGGCAAGAGTTTTGCTTTAGCTACCCCCACCTTTTGAAATCCAAAACAGTTATGGGGCTCCTGGGGGGCTCAGTCGATTAAGCATCTGACTCTTGGTTTCAGCCCAGGTCATGATCTCGTGGTTTCGTGAGTTCAGGCCCTGTGTCGGGCTCTGCGCTCGGAGCACGGAGCCTGCTTGGGATTCTCTGTCTCTCTCTCTGCCCCTCCCTCACTTGCACTTGTGTCTGTCCCTCTCTAAATAAATAAATAAGCTTACAAAAATTAAGAAAAAAAATTTTTTTAATGTTTTATTTATTTCTGAGAGAGAGAGAGAGAGAGCATGAACAGGGGAGGGTCAGAGAAAGAGGGAGACACAGAATCTGAAGACAGGCTCCAGGCTCTGAGCTAGCTGTCAGCATAGAGCCCGACGCGGGGCTCAAACCCATGAGCTGTGAGATCATGACCCGAGCCGAAGTCAGACACCCAACCGACTGAGCCACCCAGGCGCCCCCGGATGCGCCACCCTTCTTTATTTTCTCTATATAAGCAGAAATAAGTTCACAGGTGTGATTCCTTGTAAATTAGAAACCGGCAGCATGACACGAGGGAAATCCAGCTAATCTAGTTGAAATTTTGGGCCTGTGTAGACAAAATGTTATTTACTTTCCGTCAAAGGTGACACTTTTGCAACAGTAGGGGATACCGTCAGTTTGAAAATGGTGCTCGCGTCGGCTTGGTTTTGTCTTTTAGAATGCCATCCTGATTTAAGGTATTATCCTTTGCCTTTGTCTTGCAGGGGAAAACGTACCCATTTCGGGGTGCCTTTCCTCCGGTGTGGAATCCTGTCGCATATCTGGATTACAACAATCTGTGGCGGACCCTGGATAACATGGGGATGGAGGTAAAGCGTGTGTGTCTGGCTTACCTATAACCTGTTACTAAAGTAACAATAGCAGCTATTTAATAGCCTTCCGACAGCACAGGGGACATTGCTCTGGACATTCATGCATCTCATTCCCAGTGCACCCAGCTCCTCTGTTTCCACTTGTAAGGCAAGTGAGTGCCCGGGGGGTTATTCTGACTTCCCCCACGCCACACGGCAAGGGAACCGGGATTCAAACCGACATCTCTGATCGGAATGCCTGTGTGCTTCCGGCTCTATGCTAGGTATCCTGCTCCCAGTTGTCTTTCTCATGTGTGAGGCCACTTTTTTTTTTTTTAATTTTTTTATTTCTAAGAGAGAGAGAGAGAGATAGCGTGAGCAGGTGGAGGGTCAGAGAGAGAGGGAGATACAGAATCTGAAACAGGCTCCAAGCTCTGAACTGTCAGCACAGAGCCCAATGCAGGGCTCGAACCCACGAACCGTGAGCTCATGATCTGTGCCAAAGTTGGACACTTAACCGACTGAGCCGCCCAGGCGCCTCATGGCCACTTCAGATAGTAAAGGAAAGAGGGATTTGTTCCCCTACAGCATTTTTACCTTGTCCCAGGCTCTCATACTTAAATTGAGGACTTCATGATAATGATGATCAATATCATCATGATTCCATATTAATTTATGTATACATTTATATGTAATTTCCCCCCTTTTTTGCTTTATTATTATCATCATTATTATTCTGGCAACAGCATTAAAACAAAGAATCCACAGACCTATCCATCCCAACCCCACCACTATCTATAGAATTCTACGCCAATCACTCATTCCGACATAGACACAGAGGCTGGATCAAAGGGGTGCTCATCACAGCCTCTTAGCGAAGCGTGGGCCGTGTGTAACCAGCCCACCCTTCTTCCTTGCAGATTCCAGCCGATGCACCGTGGGATGCTCCACACGCTGAGGAATGGGACAAGATGACCATGAAAGATCTCATTGATGAAATCTGCTGGACCAAGTAATCCCTGACTATTTAAAATGGACTTTTTATCTTTTCTTTGGATCATTTCTGTCTGATCTTGCACTACAGTGTTTTTCGTAACAAGCGGTAGGCAAAAAGTTAAGAGCAAACCTAATGATCTTTCAGGTAGCAGCAACTTGGGGGACCATCAGACACTTCTGAGTGGGTATGAACATAAAACAAACCTAAAATAATAGAAAAGAGGAGGCGAATGATGTAGACTGGTTTTTTGTTTGTTTGTTTCTTGGTTTTGTTTTTTTTTTTTAACTTTTTTTAATGTTTTATTTATTTCTGAGAGAGAGAGAGACAGCATGAGCAGGGGAGGGTCAGAGAGAGAGGGAGACACAGAATCTGAAACAGGCTCCAGGCTCTGAGCTGGCTATCAGCACAAAGCCCGAGGTGGGGCTTTCACCCATTCCTCTCACCCATGAACTGTGAGATCATGATCTGAGCTGAAGTCAGACGCTTAACCGACTGAGCCACCCAAGGTGCCCCTTGTTTCTTGTTTTGTTTTTGTTTTTTTTAAGTTTTTAGAGTTTATTTATTTTTGAGAGAGAAAGAGAAAGAATGAGAGAGAGAGAGAGCATGAGCTGGGGAGGAGCAGAGAAAGAGGGAGACACAGAATCCAAAGCAGGCTCCAGGCTCTGAGCTGTCAGCACAGAGCCTGACGTGGGGCTCGAACCCACAAACTGCGAGATCATGACCTGAGCTGGTGTCAGATGCTTAACCGACTGAGCCACCCGGGCCCCCCTGTGTTTTTTTGTTTATGTTTTTGTTTTTTGTTTTTTGGTTTTTAATGAAAGGACTGTGTGATTTGCAATAGAGCAAGTAATTGTGTACTCAAATTCTATAGTGGTCAGCTACAGAAAGAGGTATAGAAAAATAGGAAACCGAAGGAAAGCTAGTCTGTGTTAAAAAAAGAAATTGTATAATGTTTTAATCGAGAACCTGTGTAATTAGTTGAGTTACTTACAGATCATTTAGTCAGCTTTCTGGGGCTGCTATGTGAAGGCACTATACCAGCGGTGAGGAATGGTGGAGAATTTGTTAGGCACGGCCCCTAAACTCACGGAAGTAATATTTTTCTCACAGGAGAGACTCACATTATACACATAATTTCATAAAGTAATGTGAGCAACTAACAGGGAACTTGACCTGAGAGTAAGGGAGAGATTCCCAGATGCGGCAGTCGTTAAACATAAGCCAAGGACTTAGTGTGTCAACTAAAAATGAGTCACAGTGGATGAGAGGAGACAGGAAAAGGGTGGATAGTGTGAGGGACAAGGTATCTTCCCGGAATGCCACATAGAGGTTGGGGGAGAGAGAGGAGAAATGGATGGTGTGGGAGGAAGACTCTTCCAGAAATGAGCCATAGTACTGGGGGATAGACAGGAAGTGGGGAATGATGTAGGAATATGATATCAACAAGGGATGTGTCACAGTGAATGTGGGGAGACCCGGTGGATGGATGGATGGTGTGGGGATGGCATGTTCCAGGAATGAACTATAACAGATGGGGAGAGTAGGAAGTGTGGATGGTGTGGGGGAATGGTATCTTCAAGGAATGAGCCGCAGTGGAAGGAGGGAGAAATGAAAGGTGGACGGTATATGCAGATGGTATCCTCCATGAATGAGCCACAGTGTGTGCTGATAGAAAGGCTGGATGGTGGCGGGGAGGGGAGGGGGGGTAGTATCTTACAATCTCCCAATTGGTGGGAGAAAGAGTAAGAATGAAACGTGTGAGGGGTGGTATCTTTCAGGTGTGAGACACAGTGGACCGGGGAAGACAAGAATGGATGCTTGGTGGCATAGGATCTTCCATGAGCAAGCTTAATCCATGGAGAGGAGATGGTGGAAGGCAGGAGAGGTGGGGTTTGGGAGGAGGTGGAATGTTCTGGAATGAGGAAGGATGGATGGTGTTGGTGGTATATTCAGGAATAAACCGTAGTGGATGGCAGGAGACAGGAAGGTGGGATGGTGTGGTAGGATGGTGTCTTCTAGGAATGAGCCACTATGGATGGGCGAGACAGGGTAGATGGATGGTGTGGGAGGATGGTATGTTCCATGAGTGAGTCATGGTGAGTGGGAAGAAACAGGGAGAATAGATGGTGTAGGAATGTGGTATATTCAAGGAATGAGCCACAGTGGATGAGGGGGAGTATGAAAGATGGATGATGTTATGCTCCAGGAATGGGGCCTAGTAGATGGGGTGTGGCGCAAGTGGGAGACAGGAATGGTGACTGATCAGTGGGGGAATGGTATATTCCAGGAAGCAACCACAGTAACTGGGGTGGGGGCTGATGGGAAGGATAAGTGGGGCAGGGGGTTGTATCTTGCAGGAATGAGTTACAGTGACTGTGGGAGACTGAAAGAGTGGATGTTGTTGGAGCACGTCATCTTCCAGGAAGAGCTATGGTGAATAGGGGGAGATAGAGTGGATGGTGTGAGAGGATGGTATCATCGAGGATTGAGCCACAGGGATGATGGGAGACAGGAAGGATGGATGGCGTGTGTGCATGTGTTGGGGGCAGGCTTCCAGAAATGTCCTATGGAAAGAGAAAAGACAGGAGGAGTTGTTGACTGCATGGTATTTTCCCAGAATGAACGACAGTAGATGGGCGAGACAGGAAGGCTGGATGGTGTAGGGGATGTGGTATCTTCCAGGAATGCACCAACTGATGGAGAAACATAGGAGTAGATACAGTGAGGAGATGGTAGCTTCCAGTATTGAGCCACAGTGTTTAGGGGGGACAGAAAGGCTGAGAGGCTGGTGGGGAATTGTATCTTTGAGGATAGAATCACGGGGATTAGGGGTGGTGAGGGTAAGGTGGCGAAGGGGGAGGGAGGAAAGGTGATGTGGCAGTGAGATGACTTTCTGGAAAGAGTAGTTGAATGATGAGGGGGATGGTATCTTCCAGGAACGAGCCACAGTGGATGGAGGAAGGGAGAAGAGTGGATGGTGTAGGGAGATGGTATTTTTAAGGACTGAGCCACAGTGTAAGAGGGAAGACAGTAAATACTGATGATTGGTGGGATGGTACCTTCCAGCAATGACCCGTTATCCATGGAGGTAAGCAGGAAGGGTAGATGATGTGGGGGTGAATGATATCTTCTAGGAATGAGCCACAGCACATTGAGGAGGCAGAAAGAGAGGATGGTGTGAGGAGATGGTATCATCCAGGAATGAGCTACAGCAACTGGCTGGAGACCGGAAGGATGGAACGTGTGGGGTGGTAATGTTCCAGAAATAAACCATAGATGGATGGCAGGAGACAGAAAGTGAATGGTGTTTTTCATGAATGTCCCGGTTGTTGAGGGTCACAGAAAGAGTAAAATGTGTGACACTATGATATCTTCCATCAATCAGCCACATTGGACGGTGGGAAGCAGGAAAGGTGGATGATGTAGAGAGATGGTATCTTCTAGGGATGAGCTTCAGTGTGTGGGAGGAGATGGAACTTTGGATGGCTTGGGAGGATGGTATCTTCCAGGTGCGAGCCACGCGGATGGGGATAGATGGGGAAAGGTGGACGACGTAGTTGTGGGATTTCCAAGAGTAAAGCACAGATGGTGGGTGGAGACAGTAAGGGTGGATGGTGTGGTGAAGTCGTAACTTCTAGGAGTGAGTCACCGCGGATGGGGGAGACAAGAGAGTTGGATTGAAGTTGGTATGCTCCAGGAATGAGCCAGAGTAGAATGGGAGGAGACTGGAGGCTTGGTTGGTGTGTTGGGAAGGTGTCTTTCAGAAACGAGGTACATGGATGGGAGTAGATGGGGAAAGGTGGATGGTGTGGGAAGATACTATCTTCGGGAATGAACTGCAGGGCATTGAGTGGAGGGAGAGACAGTAAGGATATGTGGTTTGGGGGGATGGTATTTTCCAGCAATGAACCATAGTAAATGTTGGGCGATAGGAAGGGTGGATGACCCATTGCATGATGGTATCTTCCAAGAAGGAACCATAGTGACTCAGGTGAGGGGGGTGGGTTGTGCACAGGATGGATACGTGGTGTAAGGAATGGTATTTTCTGGCAGTGAGCTACAGTGTCTGTGGATGGGAGACTGGAACAGGGATGTTGGAGCATGCGATCTTCAAGGAATGAGCCATAGTGGATGGAGGAGACAGGACAAGTGGATGGTATGAGGGGATGGTGCCATGTAGGAACGAGCCACCGTTGCTGTAGGAGGAGACAGGAAGGGTGAATGATATACCACTTAAGTAACTTCCGGGAATGAGGTGCGCCAGATGGGTGTAGACAGTATCAGGGAGTGATGTTAGGGGATGGTATCACAGGAATGAGCAAGGTTTAAGAGAGCTACAAAGAGTGAATTTGTTAGGGGAAGAGACCAGAAGAATGGATGGCGTGATGAATGAGATCTTCTGGGAGGGAGCCGCTGTGGTTGGGGAGACCGGAACGATGAATGGCGTGATGGACGGTATCTTCCGGGAGTGAGCCGTTGTGAATGGTGGGAGACATGAAGGGTGAATGGTGTGGGAAATGCCATTTTCCAAGTGGAGAGCAGGAAACCGTTCTTGAAGGCCCTGAGATGGGGAGATTGACATATTTTTGCAGTGAAATGACAGTATGCCTGGACTGTGAGGACGTAGTGACCAAGTGATGTGATTAAGAGGTCAGAGAGCTCATTGAGAGGCTGATGGTGCAAGGTATCGTGGCCCCATTCACGATTTCTGCCGTTTACCAGGAATGCCATTGAAGGGTTTTATGGCGCATGTGTTTTTGCGTTGTCTAAAGAGCTCATTGGCTCTACTGTAGCAAAGGATCGAAAGGGGGTGTACTCATAAACCAGGTAGAGGGATTCAGGAGAAGGTACCGCTGTTGTAACCCAGGTGAGGGATGTTGGTGGCCTGGACCAGAGTGGGAGCAGTGGAGGCGGAGAAGAGAGAATATTTGTTCAAACAAATGAGAATTACATCCTTAATGATCCGTCTCAAGAGTATTGACCTTCTAGACTGTTCCAGAATGCATATATTTGGAGCTGACCCGTAATTCCCTAAAGCAAAGGAAACGTTTATTTCCATCAAGAGTTAAAAAACATGCATTCCTTTAGAGACTGAGCCCGTGAGAGTTTCCCCCCCCCGCCCCCCCCCAAAGCAATACAAATGCTTTCTGAATTGTGGCTTAAAAAGATGCTATATCCTGTGAAGCGTGTATGTATTTACACTTGACTGCTCCTCTTGTTATGTGACCAGGACTGCTAGGCAGTTTGCATATCTCTTTGTGAACATCAATGTGACCTCTGAACCCCACGAGGTGTCGGCGCTGTGGTTCCTGTGGTATGTGAAGCAGTGTGGAGGCACCACTCGGATATTCTCGGTTACCAACGGGGGCCAGGTACGGGGTGGCCGTTCCCACCCACCAACTTCCTTTGTGATTCCACCCTCACCTGGGGTAGCGTCTTTCTAACTGCTTCCACGTTCTGAACCGTGAGGGACTTTGAAACCTGAATTTCGGAAATGGTTTCAAGGCAACTTGTCCGGAAGCAAAAGTTCTCATTTCCTCTTGGCGTTCCTGAAGAGGAGTTCACAGCTAAAGAATGTTCCGTTTTGAATGAATTCCGTTTTGGGAATTCAGTCCCTTGCTTTATTTCTGTTTTTTTTTTTTTTTTTTTTTTTTGAAGGTAGGGAAAATTAGTCTATGTAGGAGGAGCCAAGTTCCTAAAATCAACTGATTTTCCAAAAAAATCCTGGAACGGGTAAAACGATCATGCTTCAAGTCCTCTCTGTTCCAGACGTGCTCTGTACTGTAGCGCAAGATGTAGAGTCTTTCTCCACAAAGTGAATGGTTCCTCTCCTCAGGAGATCTCTGGAACTCTCCAGGTTGTTCCCAACTCTTCCAGTTAGCCCCAAGAGTTATTGCCCATTTGCCCCTTAGCGCCAGCAAATGCACGACACTGGAGTCTCTTCAGTGTCTTTATACTTAGAAATTCCACATTGCTCCTTTTGACCTGTATTTTACTTTCTGAGCTATCGTGCCTGGTATTTTATATTTATATCCTCATTGCCTGCCTTCTCCTCTAGGAACGGAAGTTTGTAGGCGGATCTGGTCAAGTGAGTGAACGGATAATGGAACGCCTCGGGGACAGGGTGAAGCTGAAGCGTCCTGTCACCTATGTTGACCAGTCAGATGACAGCATCCTCATAGAGACCTTGAATCATGAAGTATATGAGGTAACTCAGCCTAGCCAAAAAGGAGTCTAGACCAAAATAGGCCTCATGTGCTCTGCAGCTTCTAACCAAATGCGGCCCAGGCAGTGGTGTAATCCGTTGGCACATTTCTACCTCAGTCTTCCCAATGACCATTTTTAGTTGACCTGCCTCATTCTGTTGTGTTGCCTCACAGTGGCCTCATGTTATATGTGGTAACTGTTAGGGTCATTCGAGAAGGTGGTTATGAGGTTTCCCACCTTCTGTGAAGACCGAGACTCACGCGTCTGAGGTGGAATGTTGTTGTGTCTTTGTGTTTTAGTGCAGGTACGTAATTAGCGCCATCCCTCCAACACTAACAGCCAAGATACACTTCAAACCAGAGCTTCCATCCGAGAGAAACCAGTTAATTCAGCGTCTTCCGATGGGGGCTATCATTAAGTGCATGATGTATTACAAGGAGGCATTTTGGAAGAAGAAGGGTAGGTGGAACTTAACTCATGTTTCAAATGTGTTTGGGACGCCTGAGCGGCTCAGTCGGACGCCCAGCCGAGCTTGATTTCAGCTCACCGTCACGATCCCAGGATCATGGGATCCAGCCCCGCAGAGGGCTCTGCGCTGAGCATAGAGCCTGCTTGGGCTTCTCTCTCTCCCTCCCTGCCCCCCTCGCCTGCTTGCACTCTGTCTTTCTAAAAAAAATCTGAAACACAGATGCCTGGGTGGCTGAGTCAGTTAAGCATCTGACTTTTGATTTAGACTCAGGTCATGATCTCAGGTTCATGGGATCGAATCCCCCCATTGAGCTCTGGCATGGAGCCTGCTTGGGATTCTCTCTCTCTCTGCGCCTCCCCCTCTGGCTTTCTCTCTCTCTCTCTCTCTCTCTCTCTCTCTCTCTCAAAATAAATAAACATTTAAAAAAAAGGTAAGTTTTTAAATGGGTAGAATAAAGGATCAGAAATCTCAGGCTGTCCATCTCTTCGTAGACTCTGGCAACACAAAATGGCCTCAGCACCACTTGCTGTCAATGCCAGGAAAGGAAGAGATCTCACCAGTTGTGGGGTCCCGGTTCCTGCCTTGTGTCCCGCCACTCTTCAGGAGCAGAGTGACACGAAGGGTTACTGTTGGGGAGACCGCTGCTTTGAAGTCATGCGGTCCTGGGCTTCCCTTGCTTATTAGCTCTGTGGCCTCGGTGTGACACTACCTCTCAGCGCCAGTGTCTTGGTGTAGAATGGCGACAAGGAGGCCTATTATCAGGATGTTTCGAGAATGAGATGAGACAGGGCCTTGGGTGGGTGTGGTGGCTGTCGTTGGCAAACCTGCTCACACTCAAAAGAATTCCTTCCGCCAGCTTCTTCCATGGGCTCACGGGGGTGATTGCGTCTAACCGCATGCACCTCTTATCCCACGTGGTCCAGGGTTCCAGGCCCACAGTACAGGGTGAGCCATGCGTTGGTCATACGTGACCTTTATGGAAAGGTCGTGGAGGTGTCATTTTCCATGTGTCTGGTGCCACCGACATCCTTGTATAGTTAGTGTGTGAATTTAACAGGAAATATCTTCCAGGGTTGAGGCAAAGACTATTGTTTGCGATTTGCCTTCCTCTTCGCAACATTGTTTTCTGTTTTGTTTTGTTTAATCTTATTAATTTTTCTTCTTTTGAGAGAAAGAAAGGGCACTAGTGAACGAGGGGCAGAGAGAGAGAGAGAGAGACAGAATTCCATGAGGGTCAGAGAGAAAGAGGGAGGGAAATAGATGATAAAGAGAAGTGGGGCTCACCCCATGTGGGACTCACCCAAAGCAGGGCTCGCATTTTACCTTGAGTGGGGCTCTAGCTCACCTGATGCAGGACTCGAACTCACGAACCATGAGATCGTGACCTGAGCGGGAGTCAGATGCTTAACCAACTGAGCCATACAGGCACCTCCATAAAGGTTTTTTTGTTGTTGCTTTATTTTAATTTTATGTTATTAAAAAAGTTTTTCTTTATTATTTTTTTTCGAGAGAGAGACACAGACAGAGTGTGAGTGGGGCAGAGAGGGAAACACAGAATCCGAAGCAGGTTCCAGGCTCTGTGCTGTCAGCACAGAGCCCCATGCAGGGCTTGAACCCACAAGCCATGAGATCGTGACCTGAGCCAAAGTCGGACTCAACTGACTGAGTGCTACTCAGGCGCCCCTATTTTTATTTTATTTCTGAGAGAGAAAGCAAGAGTGTGTACAAGTGGGGTAGGGGCAGAGAGAGAGGGAGACGGGATCCGATGTGGGCTCTGCCCTGACCACAGAGAGCCTGACGCAGAGCTCGACCTCACGAACCATGAGATCATGACCTAAGCCAAAGTCAGACGCTCAACTTGACTGAGCCACCCAGGCGCCCCAGCAAAATAGTTTTTATACACATATGTGTGTGCTTGTGTGTGTGTGTGTGTGTATGTATATATAGTTTTTCCCCTAAATCTCTGATGAGGTCAATTTCAGTCTCCGATTGATTTTCTCTTTAAGATTACTGCGGCTGTATGATCATTGAAGATGAGGAGGCCCCAATCTCAATAACCCTGGATGACACCAAGCCAGATGGATCGCTGCCCGCCATCATGGGGTAAGTCGGAGCCCACATGGTGTGGATGCTGGCAGAGCCTATGGAATCGAGTGCAAGCAGTCGTAAATAACCCTACAGAAACGTATCCTGGTCCACGTATTAATGTATTAGAGTAGCATTTTGTATGTGGCATAAGGACACTGGGAAGGCTGTAGCCTTGTCTTCAACCCAAGCATCACTGCATAGCATCTATTGAATATGTTCATTATTACCCTGGTATAGACAGAGACAGAGAGCCCATGAGGAAGTGGTGTTTGAAACCGAGCCAGGCGTGGAGTGGATGACACTCTTCCCATTAGGCTGTCCTTGACTGGGGATGGTTTAGGGTTTGGTTCTGTGTCTGGAGGAGGGGAGCCTCTCCCCTTCTCTTTCCAGCGCCGCCCGGCCCTCCCCCTCCAAAAGCTGCTTTGGCCGTTTGGGGACTAGGGGTCCAGAGAAGGAAGCGGCGCTGTCCCAGAGGAGTTGCTAAGGAGCGTCGCCTTCCTCAAAGCGACACAAATAAAAGGGCTGTTGTTTCTACCACATGACACCCAAAAGGCATGGCTTCTGTAACAACCAAGCGACTTTCAGAGACACTGCGGTTTTCCCTTTCCCCCGGGGGACGGTTGCTCACGCATGTTGCAGCATGGAAGGGAAATTACCAAACCGAGAGGCACAGACCCGTGACCCAGGACTCGCACGCTGCACTCCTGGGCTGCCCACAAGATATTTCGCAACCACTTCTCCGGCTGGAAGATATCAGAAATAGCACTGGCCTCCCTGCGAAGGGCGAAGGGCGGGTCCTCATCACAGGAACACATCCCCTCCGTCTCTAACCCTGCTGGGCAAGAAGGGGTCCAGATTATGTGAGCAGTTTGCCACCACCTTCTATACGCCAGAGGAAACCAGAAGGTTGAGGTGGAGGTTTGGGGAGACTGTCAGTCAAGCCCAATCCAACTGCGGGTGGAAGGACATTAATGTTCCTCTTGCCCTGGGAGTTAGATACTGTGGCCTCTGCCTTTCTGGACTTTCCTCAGCTTTATTACCAAAGCCACGTGTGGGAGCAGTTTTCCAGGTGGGAACGGGCCACTGAGGCAGTTCCTAAACAGGGATATTCTAATCTGCTGTATCTGGACACCCACGTTTATTGCCTGCATCCTGCTCTTTGCTCTGGGCAATGAAAGCCTTAATCATAGGGGTGGTAATTGCCCAGCCCGGGGTTTGTGATAGCTAGTACCTTTTGGACACTAGAAAGGACCTTGTACTTCAGAGCTGTGAAGTTTCCCCAGCCCAAAGCCGGCATGTTTCACTTCCTCAATAAAACACCAAAGAAAGTTAAAGAATAGTTGTCCATGGTTAGAATGAGATCAAAGGGGTTATTTCATTCTCGATTCGAGATTTGACAGGAATGACCCACACTAACCGTCCAGTAGAAAAGGAACTGTAAGGGGCACCTGGGTGGCTCAGTCGGTTGAGCGTCTGACATCGGCTCAGGTCATGATCTCATGATTCATGAGTTCGAGCCCCGCGTCGGGCTCTGTGCTGACGGCTCAGAGCCTGGAGCCTGCTTCGGAGTCGGTGTCTCCCTCTCTCTCTGGCCCTCCCCTGCTCATGCTTTGTCTTTCTCAGTCTCTCAAAAATAAATAAAGGTTAGAAAAAATTTAAAAAAGTAACTGTGAGAAGCACCCAAGATCTAAAAAGCGTTTTCAGATAAATCGTTTAATGTTTCATCAGATACTGGGGGTTTTCATTGAAATCCTCTGTAAGCCTAAAATGGTGGATTCTGGCATAAACGTAAAATTTAACCAGAATCATTACTAGCAAGCCATGATGCAACCGTGGTAAATCAAGCAAAATTAGGACTGTATAAATGACTGAATACCCCAGTGATACTCAGTATCAGCGTTACAGATAAATTATAACTGGGTTTTACTGAGTGACTGAATTTGGAGGCTGTGCTTGGCCAGTTTCCCAGAAGCCAACTTGGAGATGGAGATTTGGGTAGAGGGGGTCCGTTGAGGTGTGCGCTCGGGGTCACTGCTGAGCTGAGGGTAATGAGGGCTTGATCCTGAAGGGGGATCTGGGTCGCCTGCCGCCGCATTCACTACAGCTGTTTACTTAGATGTGCTTTTCCAGCTTTAAAAAAAATTTTTTTTTAATATAATTTATTGTCAACTTGGCTAACATAGTGTATACAGTGTGCTCTTGGCCTCGGGGGGGAAGATTCCCGTGATTCATCGCTTCCATACAACACCCAGTGCTCATCCCACCAAGTGCCCTCCTCACTGCCCATCACCCATTTTCCCTGCCCCCCTGCCCCCCCTTCAACCCTCAGTTTGTTCTCTGTATTTAAGAGTCGCTTATGGTTTGCCTCCTTCTCTGTATGAAACTATTTTTTTCCCTTCCCTTCCCCCATGGTCTTCTGTTAAGTTTCTCAAATTTCACTCATATGAGTGAAAACATGTATCTGTCTTTCTCTGACTTATTTCACTTAGCATAATAACCTCTCGTTCCATCCATGTTGTTGCAAATGGCAGGATTTCATTCTTGCTCCTTGCCAGTAGTATTCCATTGTATATATAAACAACATCTTTATTCATTTGTCAGTCGATAGACATTTGGGCTCTTAAAATATTTTTTTAAGCTTATTTATTTTGAGAGAGACAGAGTACGAGCAGGGGAGGGACAGAGAGAGAGGGAGTATCTTAGGCAGGCTTCGCACTGCGAGCGCAGAGTCCGGCACAGGGCTCAAACTCACAAAACTGTGAGATCATGACCTGAGCCGAACTCAAGAGTCAGACGCCCAACTGACTGAGCCACCCAGGCACCCCATGTTTTTCTGGCTTTTATCAAGTGTTTGGCAGAAGGTTAACAGTCATTCCCAAGGTATCATTTAACGCAACATGAATTCGGCTAACATTTGAGGTCCAACTACATGCCCAGGACTGTGCTGAACTTTGGGGGTAAAATACTGAGTAGGAGGTGACTAGTTCTTTAGGAGCCCACAGCCTAGAGGGATTTTGGACACGGGCCGCCCGAAGGCAGCGTGGCATTTGCTGTAATAGGGGGAGGCAAGAACACTGTAAGAAGAAAAGGCACCTCTTCTGTCACCTAACCGTTCAAATGTAACTTCTCTCCCCAGCTTCATACTTGCCCGAAAAGCAGAGCGACTTGCCAAGCTCCATAAAGAAATCAGGTAAGAACTGACATTTGAAACCTACATGAAAGGTCGTCTTTGTATTGCGCTTGTGGCGCTGATAGCAGCCTAACGGCCTCATGAAAAACCCCACAGTCCACGACTATTCCCAAAATCCCAACGAATCAACCTTGTTGTAGCCTTTTGGTCACAGGCCCCTCGACTCAGGGCTGGCCCATACGCGTGTCTTACTTTAGTTTTACATATTTGTGTTGATTTTACAGTGGTGGGGAAGGAGGGTTTCCCTGGCGGGGAGAGATGGAGAAAAACGATAGGAAACATTAGCCGTGCAAACAGCTTAAGAGGCTGAGTCCTGATCGCCTTGGGAGACCCTTAGCCCTTTGACAAGGTTCCCGGATGGGGGCGTGTACTTGATCTAAAAGGCAAATGCATAGGTATGTTTCGACGTGCTGCACCTTGTGCGCATAGGTCTCCCTTTGATTGCCCAGCACACAGCTCTGATGTCCCCTGGTATAGCTTCCTGGTATAACACAATCATTTCAGGACAATGACTTTTTTTTTCTTTCTCCCTTTCTCTTTCTGCCTTGTTGTATTTGCTTCGTTTTGCCTTGGAATCCTTTCCTGTGGTCAAATAAAATCTTATCAGGAACTCCTCCCTGGAAACCATCATTTGGCTGTTCGGGGGGATGCCTCTGGGAATTTCGGATATTCCCTTCTCAAGGGTAGCCCCCAATTCTTTGTTAGAGGGCCAGTTTGGACACACGTACGCTTCCCTCTGCATTTAATTAAAACAAATTAAGCAGCAGAAGTTCCCACATTTGCACCCGAAGGTGTTTATTTGAACCACCGTGAGATTTAATTTCAGGAAGGACACTGTCCACCTACTAAGTCAAAAGAGGAAGAACCTGGGATCCAGTGACAGGGAATGGCTTGTCCGAGTCTCCACAGCTAGCTTGCTACAGTGTCAGGAATAGCATCTAACGCATGCTTTTTTTTTTTTTTTTTCATTACTCTACACTGAGCTTGACATTTTCTTTCGGATTTCCTGCTTTCCCTCCTTATTAATAGTAAAATAAATACCAGCCTGTATGTAGACATTTGGTTATGATTCCACATGGTGGCTGAACTTCTCAAAAGTTTTTCTAAGGCAAAACCCTTAGAACTCTGCATATGTCATTGATTGGAGCAACTTTCCCAGACCCGACGGCCTCAGAATCTACCAGGAAAATATAGGTGGAAAAAATACTTTTCTGACACTGGTCAATTATGATTTTTGGCAGGTTAGCGGTGGGGCCTGAGAATTTCGTATTTTTTAACAAGCTTTTCTTTTAATTATTTTTATTTTTTGAGAGAGAGAGAGAGAGCGTGAGAAGAGGAGGGGCAGAGGGAGAAGGAGAGGGAGAATCAGCACAGAGAGCTCAATCCCACAACCCTGGGATCATGGTGTGAGCTGAAATCAAGAGCTGGACGCTTAACTGTCTGAGCCACCCAGGCGTCCCTTTTTTTTTTTTTTATATTTTATTTATTTCTGAGAGAGAGAGAGAGAGAGAGAGAGACAGCGTGAGCAGGGGAGGGTCAGAGAGAGAGGGAGTCACAGACTCCGAAACAGGCTCCAGGCTGTGAGCCGGCTGTCAGCACAGAGCCCAACGTGGGCCTCGAACCCACGAACCGTGAGATCATGACCTGAGCCGAAGTCGGATGCCCAACCAACTGAGCCACCCAGGCGCCCCCAGGCGTCCCTTTTAACAAGATTTTTTTTTTTTAATTTTTTAAATGTTTTAGTTATTTCTGAGAGAGAGAGACAGACAGACAGCATAAGCAGGGAAGGGTCGGAGAGAGAGTGAGACACAGAATCTGAAGCAGTCTCCAGGCTCTGAGCTAGCTGTCCGCACAGAGCCTGACGCGGGGCTCGAACCCACAAACCGGGAAATCATGATCTGAGCCAAAGTCGGATGCTTAACGGACTGAGCCACCCAGGTGCCCCTTAACAAGATTTTTAAATGATGATGACAAACAGCCAGATTTAGAAACCAATGAGTAAACACAACTACAAGAGATTTGCACGGTGACCTCTATTGGCCATCATTTGAAATATGTTCTTTTGGGGTGCCTGGGTGGCTCAGTCAGTAAAGCATCCGACTTCGGCTCAGGTCATGATCTCACGGTTTGTGGGTTCAAGCCCCGCGTCAGGCTCTGTGCTGACAACTCAGAGCCTGGAGCCTGTTTCAGATTCCGTGTCTGCCTCCACCCTGCTCACACTCTTGTCTCTCTCTGACTCACTCTCAAAAATAAATAAAATTAAAAAAATTAAAAAAAAATTAATAATATAAAATATGTTCTCTTATTTTTAGAGCCCAACTAATCAGTGCATTGCTCTAACAGTTTTGACTTAACGTAACTTTTCCAAAAATGTTTAGATTAAAAAAAAATTATTTTAGTCAGAAATTTCTTTAAAAGTATTTATTTAAGTATTTATTTATTGGGGCGTCTGGGTGGCTTAGTCAGTTAAGTGGCCTACTTTGGCTCAGGTCATGATCTCACAGTTCGTGGGTTCGAGCCCCGCATCGGGCTCTGTGCTGACAGCTTGGAGCCTGGAGCCTGCTTCGGATTCTGTGTCTCCCTCTCTCTTCTGCCCTTCTTCTGATCATGCTCGCTCGCTCGCTCTCTCTCTCTCAAAATTCAACGAACATTAAAAATTTTTTTTAAGTATTTCTTTATTTTGAGAGAAAAAGAGAGCAGAGGAGAGGCAGACGGGGAAGGGAGAGAGAATTCCAAGCAGACTCTACACTCGGCGCAGAACCCAACTTGGGGCTCATTCCTATGACCATGAGCTCATGACCTGAGCTGAAATCAAGCGTGAGCTACTCAACCGACTAAGCCACCTAGGCACCCCCCCCTAAAATTTTAAATTTAATGGGAGGAAGGTATAGAGAAGATAATTTCCTGATGTATTTGTCTGAACTTATCTTTGACTCATCTAATACTCTAAAATACAGTAAATAAGGACTTCTGTTTCTATTATAAGTGGCTTATTGTCCATGAATGAAAAATCAACTGCAACGTAGGTTGACTGGAATTTAGGAGAGAGAGGGAGAGAGAGAGAATCCTAAACCGGCTTCACACTGTCAGCGCCCCTCAGGCGCCTCAAGATTTCACTCTGTTTTAACAAAGACTATTATCACATGTCCCCCAAATAAGCTAAGCATCATTCAACCTTCAGAATAAGGCTTGTCCATACTTTTGTTTTCTGATGGACTTGCAAATATTGGAATTTCCATTCCTAATGCTCTTGTGAAGTGGGTAAGAACTAGTTATCTCTTCCCAGAGTAGGACATCACCTCAGCCATCGCATTTGTCTCTCCCTTAAAACCTTCTATGGAAAAAAATGGTGGCAGTAAGCACTGTTTATGCTTTCACTTCCTTCTCCCGACTTAATACTATCGATCCATGAAATCAAAGCTCTGGAAGTTCTAGCAATGGTGGAAATGTGAGCATTCGGGTACATTTATAAGAGAGAGAGATTTGGACATGGTTTAAAAGTGTTTTCTAGGGGCGCCTGGGTGGCTCAGTCGGTTAAGCATCCGACTTCGGTTCAGGTCATGATCTCACGGTTTGTGGGTTCGAGCCCCACATCCGGCTCTGTGCTAACAGCTCAGAGCCTGGAGCCTACTTCGGATTCTGGGTCTCCCTCTCTCTCTGCCCCTCCCCCATTCATGCTCTGTTTCTGTCTCAATAACAAATAAACATAAAAAATTTTTTAAAAATACTTTCTAGGGGCACTTGGGTGGCTCAGTTGGTTAAGCGTCCAACTTTGGCTGAGGTCATGAGTTCACAGTTCATGGGATTGAGCCTCGCATGGGGCTCCGTGCTGACATCTCGGAGCCTGTTTGGAATTCTCCCTCTCTCTCTTTTCCAGCCGCTGGAGCTCACACTCTGTCTCTCTTTCAAAATAAATAAACATTAAATAATGTTTTCTAATGGTATTGGCAACATAAAATTGTCATTTTTAAAAACCTCTGTTTCTTTCACTGCTAATAAATAGAACCTTCCCGTCCTTCCTTTCCCCTCCTCTCGTTTTTGGCCATTTGCCTCTTCAGCTTTTAGTGCTCGCCTTTCAGATTTGAGTTAAGCCCTTTGCCACCTTTTTTAGCAAGCATTTTTTTTTCAGTTGCTCATTAGCGTATAACAAATATTTTGGAGTACTTTCAGTGTTTACACTATATAAAGACTAAGGAGGGTAAATACCAGAGTGTGTAACTGGATCAGTGTGAGGCTGTTCAAACAAATCCTGAAATTGAACCGTTTCTTTCTAAAAGGGATAATTTCAGTAAATTAGAACTTAAAAAAATACTTGTTAATGTTTATTTTTGAGGGAGGGAGGGAGGGAGGGAGGTTGCCGGGGCAGAGAGAGAGGGAGACACAGAATCGGAAGCAGGCTCCAGGCTCCAAGCTGTCAGCACAGAGCCCGACGTGGGGCTCGAACTCAGGAACCGCGAGACCATGACCCGAGCCGACGTCAGATGCTCGACTGACTGAGCCACCCAGGTGCCCCAAGAACGTTTTAACGTCACCAAGAGTCGTTGTGAGTTTGAAAGTATCTTGTTTCGGGAAGTGCTTAGATGAGTTATGCTACTGATTTTGAAGACCTGATGGTCATTCCCGTAATGAATTATGAGGGTAGCCAATGACTGAGCTAACATCATGAGGCACAGCCTGCCACCCCAGATGCCCTTGGAAGTCCTGTGTCCACAGAGCATTCTGCCGAGTGACCGATTACTAGACTAGAATGATCTTAGGCCTCTCATGGTGTAGAATATTTTTTGTTATATTTAAAAGATTAAGGGCGCTTTAGATGTTCATAGATCTTTACAGCATAAATAGAAGACAGTTAAAAGACACTGTCATGTGTATTAGAGAATTCTAAACGGGATTATTCTAGAAGTCTACATATTCCGGAAGTCAATCGACATCAGTTCCTACACTGGCGGTGCTGAATCTAATCTTTGTTTTCCCATTTGAATCCTGAGTAGATACGATATGGGATGGTAAAAGAAGTGAAAATGTGAAGGGCGCCTGGGTGGCTCAGTCGGTTAAGCATCCGACTTCCGCACAGGTCATGATCTCCCGGTTTGTGGGTTCGAGCCCCGTGTCGGGCTCTGTGCTGACAGCTGGCTCAGAGCCTGGAGCCTACTTCAGATTCTGTGTCTCCCTCTCTCTCTGATCCTCCCCTGCTCATGCGGTCTCTCTCTTTCCCAGAAATAAATAAAACACTAAAAAAATAAAATAAAAAAAAATAAGTGAAAATGTGAAAGGAAAAATTCTGTTGAGTCTTCCAATAAAATGACTATCTTGAGGGATAGTGGGGTAATTTGAGTGCAGAGATCCATCGAACTCTTCATTTTATTTAGTTACCATCAGTTTTCTTTTTCTTTAATAAATCTGGTTCATTGCCAGGATCCCCGGAACGCCCTGTGTCTACTCCACGCACCTTAGCTATTATTTCCTGAACAGTTTCTTAATTCTTTTTTGTAGGAAGAGGAAAATCTGTGAGCTGTACGCCAAAGTGCTAGGATCGCAGGAAGCTTTACACGTAAGAAACCCTCCACTCTAATCCCTAGAAGGTTCTGTTCCGTTTGCTCTAAGTGGTAAAGCAAAGCCAATTCCGGTTTCCCGACAGTCTGACGAAGAGTCTTATAAAAGGGATATACACTTACTGAGGATTCACTCCCGCCACAAAAAAAGCCAATAAAGGCTGCCGGCAGATGCAGGCAATTTCTCTTGCAGTAGTTCTTGGGCTGTTGCAGGGTTCCCGGGAAAACTGGTGGCCGGTTGCAGTCAGAGGTGGGTGTGGGCGATATCCGTTCCCAGGACGGACGGCCTGTCCTCCCGTCTGTCAGCTGAGTGCTTTGAAGTAAAATCCCAAATACGGCATCGTGTGTTGGTGGGGGCGCACGCGCGCGTACTTGACCAGATGCGCTGAATCTGGACTCTCTCGGGTCAAAGTCATCCTAATTGATTTTTCCATCTGGAGACTCAATTCGCAGCTCATTTAGGGATTCTGTCTGAGGATCCTGTTAGATCGCCGGGGGCTCTTTCAGCGGATTATCTCTGAACTGTTCAAATAATAGACTTGCAGAATGTGTCAGGGAAGAACTCAGAGAAGGTTCCCTCGTGTCTCTTGGAAACCGCTTTTCACCTTCAGGGGTCCACCTTTCGACAGGATTCCCATCATTCTCTCTTCCAGCTCAGAGAAGTGGTTCAGAAGAAAGCCTTTCTTAGACGTTGTGCTGATCTTCTGCCTTCTCCCGTCCGCCCTTTTCTTTCAGCCCTGGTAGATGGGCAAGTCAGGTCTGTTACTTAGAGAATCCAGAGATTTGAGCAGACCTTTCCAGAACCCGACCACTGACAGGGTTTCCTGTAGGCTTATTCTAAAGACTTAAGAGTCTTTGTGGCACTGCTCTCTCTGCCAGATACTGGAATACTCCACGGCCCCTCCTCACCAAAAGGTTGAGAAATTCGGCATATCCATGTTCTGTCACTTGGTACCTCACAGAAGGCCATCTGCTTAGTCCTGTCATGTTTCCCTGTAAACAAAATCGCAACACAGGGCCCCCTTTTTTTAAACATACACTTTTTGTTCAAGTGAGATACATGAGAGACTTCCTTGTTGACTGGTAGCATTTCAGCTTCATCTTCCCTCTGGAATTTTCTCCCCACTGAACTGCAGCCCGTGCACTACGAAGAGAAGAACTGGTGTGAGGAACAGTACTCCGGGGGCTGTTACACCGCCTACTTCCCCCCTGGGATCATGACTCAATACGGAAGGTACTACCCGCCCACTGTACCGATTAATATAAGACACGCACATGGGGCGCCTGGGGGGCTCAGCGGTTAAGCGTCGGCTCTTGGTTTCAGCTCAAGTCATAATCTCGTGGTTCGTGAGTTCAGGTCCTGAGTTGGGCTCTTTGCCGATGGCGCGGAGCCTGCCTGGGATTCTCTCTCTCTCTTCCGCTCTCTGCACATCCCGTGGTTGTTTGCTCTCTCTCTTTCAAAATAAAAAAAAAAGACATGCACCCTCCCTCAAAAAAATATATATGTAAAAGACATGCACCAAACTTAAGAAACTCATAAGCAAAGCTCGATGGGAAGTTAGAAATAGTAGTAGTCAGCAGTTTGATTTTGAATGCCCCGGGTAGCTAGTGGGTATATTTCTGGACGTCCGTAGGAAAATAGGGATGTTGGTACATAGATCAGTAGCTGTCAGCACATCGAAGGAGAGCAGAGCACAGGTGAGGATTTCAGGTGTCAGTGCTCCCTGTGGGACCTCTTCGAGCCACACTGTCCTCCCAGTGGCCTCCTCCTTCTTCTTCTTTGTCTTCTTTTTTATTTTTTTATGGTTTTTTATTTTTGAGAGAGAGACGGAGCACGAGCGGGGGAGGGACAGACAGAGAGGGAGATACAGACTCCGAAGCAGGCTCCAGGCTCTGAGCTGTCAGCACAGAGCCCGGCGTGGGGCTCGAACTCACAGACCTTGAGATCATGACCTGAGCCGAAGTTGGACGTTTACCCAAGGGACCTTCTTGAGCTCGGTCAGACGTTTAGTTTCACACAACTACCCCAGGCTTCTGGGTAGCCTTCTATGCAGAAGGACGTTAACTAAACACGCCTGGCTGCAGCCATTTGTCTTCATGGGGAGACGTCCTCGCTGTGTGAGGAGGTGATCTCGGCACAGAGTCAGGGGAGTCCACCTTAGCTTAGAAGCCTCCTGTCCCATAGGAGCCATCGTCTCTTGTAACAGCCTCATACGCATGGTGTCCGGCCAGGGTCCCTGCAGGAGGCATGCCCTGTTACAAACAAGAGGCCCCGGCACCCTGGGAAGCCCAAGGTGACAGCTTCCTACTGGGTATTTGCAATTCATGACAACTGTTCCAGGCCCAGATGCAGTTACAGCGTGTGTCGGGGTGGGGGAGGCATGTTTGCAGAAGCAGTGTCGCCTGGTAACGTCCCTGGGCATTATACCTTCATCGGGTTCCCAGAGGGACAGAGCTAGAAAGTTAACTCAAGGCCACATGTGTCCACGGAGAAACAAGGACTTGTTAACCCTTTCCTTACATGAGATTATTCTTTCTTTCTTTTCTTTTATTTTTTTTTTAAGTTTATTTTGAGAGAGAGAGAAAATGAGCAGGGGAGTGGCAGACAGGGGTACAGAGGATCTGAAGTGGGTTGAACTCTGACAGCACCAAGCCTGAGGCAGGGCTCGAACCCATTAACCGCGCAATCACGACCTGAGCCGAGGTCAGACGGTCAGCCTAGGGAGCCACCCCGGCTCCCGTTTGTCAAGAGCTCTTTGTGAGAGAAGGCCCACTTCCCTGTCCTCAGCCAGCCTCCAGAGAAATTCACAGAAGCCTACCGTACAGACGTGGTTATTTTGAGACAGACCTAGAATCCCTCGGGTCCCGCCTTTGCTAGACATCCAGTTAATGCCCCTGTCAACCTACTCGCCACTGCGGTTCCTCCTGACACCCTGGGAGTGTAGGCTGGGGTCTGCTGCCCGATACCTTCTTGTGATGAATGCCCCCCCCCCTTTGGAAAAAACGGTGTAGGGACCAGAATGGACCACAAACAGGGACGCCCACAGCCAAGAAATCCGATGGTGGATTTCACGTGCGTTCTGTATTCTGATCCCGGCTGGCTAGGAAAAGGCCACCGTCCCCTCCAGTGACTGACGACCTGGCAGCCTGATTGTCCCCGGCTTGAAGGTTCAGCTCCTTGGACGCAGGCCCAGGCAGCAGGCGGGGAGCCTTTCACCTTCGGCTGGGCCGCATGGGAGTCTTGGAATCGGTCGGGATTGGCCTGTGTTGGGCGCAGTAAATGGTGGGCTCATTTACCCTCGGTGCCCTTCCCAAGTAACGGTGTGCGACCTCTGTTCCCTGGAAGGGTGATTCGCCAGCCCGTCGGCAAGATTTACTTTGCTGGCACGGAGACAGCCACACACTGGAGCGGCTACATGGAAGGGGCCGTGGAGGCCGGAGAACGGGCAGCTCGAGAGGTAAGGGGGAGAGCGAGCCGCCCCACTCTCCCTCCTGAGGGCCGTCCGTGGTGGACTCGGCACCTGGCCCTCCTGGGTCTTGACCCTGGTGCATTTGTGCATCCACTTCTTTGCGGCCCACGCCACTCGCAGGGCTCACCTGTGGCCAGCGGGGCCTCCAGTCGGTTGGACCTGCAGAATCTCACTCCATAATATCACGGCCACTGTCTTTCAGGTCTTGAATGCTCTGGGGAAGGTGGCAAAGAAGGACATCAGAGTTGAGGAGCCCGAATCGAAGGTGAGTGGAGCAGCTTCACCTCCGCTGACCAGTCATTGCGTATAAAGCTTTGACTTTCGTCGTCTGGCTCGTAGTGTCGCCGCCGATGCCGCTCTGGGGCACGCCCACGCGTTGACTGGGCCCGTACGTTCTGCCCGGCCTCGTCCACGCGAGCGCCAGCTGTCTGCTAATGATCTCTGCTCGTTCACACAGGATGTTCCAGCGGTGGCGATCACCCACACCTTTTGGGAGAGGAACCTTCCCTCGGTGGGAGGCCTGCTGAAGATCATCGGATTCACCACCTCAGTAACTGCCCTGTGGATCGTGGTGTACAAACTCAGGCTCCTGTCCCGTCCGTGAAGTTCCAGCCACGTGCTTTTTGCTCCTCTTCCCCAGCACTGTGAAAAGCAAGCTGTTGGCAAAGGCCATGTAGTCCGACTGTCGTGCCACGCACTGGATTTACTCCCCCCATTTAGTCTCATTCGGTGTCCGAGTCAAAACCAACCCGGAGAACCACCTCGTTAATTTCAATAAGATCAAATTGCACTGTGAGATTTGCCTGTGTAGACTGATTTGTGTTCGATTGGTAGAGTAAAAACCATGTGATCGATTCCTTAGTTTCCAGACATTGTAATGGAAGAGCTGATCAGAAACCATTTCTGTGTCGGGTTTTCCTCCTCTTTAACACAGAATGCCTGATGATTGCACGCAGGACGCATTTCGCTCTCTGTCTCTGCCTGGAGCGGTTGCATAAGCAAAGGCCCAGCCTGTGACTGTCGTTTTTAGTCCTTAGGAAATGGCGAGCTGTGCGCCCAGACGCTCGCAGCTTCCTGGGGGTGGGTGAGCGGTTGGTTCACCCACCGGGTAGTAAATGGAAATAGCAGAGATAGACCGTTAGCGGGGGACATCTAGCAGGCTGTGCCTCAGGGATCTCCTGACCGCTTCTAATTTCCTGTGAGGTTTCTAGACATCTAGCCTAATGTTCAGTTAACTTAACGTGGTTACCATTGAGTAAATATTAGCATGCTGATCTCTCTCAAGTAGGAGCGGAAATACACACGATACATTTCCAATTGCTATCTGTTGAGACTGTCAAGTACGGCAAGGAAATTGGGGCTTAATAGTCTATCCTCAGTGGCTTTAGTTATTAAGTTTATGACAGACATGACATCGATGGATTTTCATATGAAGAGTCAGTTCTCTATTTTAGGAGTAATGTGGGCCCAGAATTGTGCCCACCTCTTTCTGGCTTCTCCCGTTTTAAAACCTCAGATTTTTTTCTAAGCCCCTTCCAGAAGGTTTCGGCCATAAAAGGCTCCTTTTTAAAATATAAGCATCCGGAAAAAAATCAGCACCAATGTGATCAAATAAGGCAGTGGACGAGATTCAGTGGACTTGGGTACCCAGGTGGATACGCAGTTAACGCCTTATCCCACATCATTGATGAACAAGGCATTTTAGAGGAAGTTTCTAGATAGCTGAAGTTGACTCTTTAATGTACCGAAAAGCTTAAATAAAAATTTTGATGGGCATACTTCCATACATTATTCAACAAGCAAGATTCAGATTCACCTTTTTTTAATTAATCCGGTCAATCGTTAGGTGCCTCGCTTATTTTATACTTTCCTCAGAGAGTGATAACCTGTGTTCACCCCTCTGCTGAATGTCGCATGATTGATTTATAGCTGGTAAGTCTAATGCTCTTTCTACCTTCTCCCAGATTTAGGATTTTATTTCATACCCTTATTATCTCCTACTACCTCTTAACCTAATCTCTTATCTTCTGTTGAATGGGAAGTAAAGATTCCCAGAGAAAAATCAACCCAAGTTTACTACATAATTAACCTTATAAGCTCGCAAGTCACTGGACCCTGATAATGAGGGCTTAAAGTACTCCAATTTTGCCTGTCCTAAGAGCAAAGAGCAAAATTTTTCTGCCACTCTTTACTTTGTAATTGAAAAGCGTTTTAGCTAACATAGCAGTTTGGGTAATGTCTTGGATATACTCCAGTCCAGAAGGAGTTGCCGCATAGTATATCAAACTGCTTAGAGAAATCACATCCCCGATCTATTTCAGTTGTTTCCGTTCACTTACTGATTAACTCGGTTCTGACACACCTTTTGAGGAAATGCTGATTTAAACCTCTTAACTGGCAACTGTTTGAGTTATGAAGGGGTGGTTAGCATAGCCAAGTCTTTAATGTAGGACTCCTGAGTCTGTGATGTACCCTCTTCTCAAACTTTTTAGAGAATCAATTTATTTCTCCTAATGAGAATCAGCCCTGTGAAACTGCAGCTTGAGCTTAAAAATGAATACTAGTCTAGGTGTACGTAGGTAGGAAATCAGAGCTGAGGACACCCACCATTCTGTTTGTCCACTGCCAGGGTCCCATAGGTAGGTCTTTCTTCCAACCCCGAGAAATGAAAGGCAGTTTCAAGAGCTCGTAGGGCCTCTGGCATTTGCTTCCTAGCTCTGAAGGCTGAGTTGGCCTCCCTCCATAGTAAGGTCGAGAAGTAGACGTGAAAAGTTAACCTTTTTGTCACAGCTGTTGAAGAAGGACTTAAACCACACTGAAGGAAAACTCCGGAAGGATTGTGAAACTATGTTTACTTTGATCGTGGACTTGGTGCCTCGTGTTCTGTCCGAAACGTGCCCCAGTGCTACATGTGCGAGTACACATACGCGTGTGTTTTGCCATTGAAATGTGACTTTGCCTGTGTGGTACTGTTTTGTTTGTTAATAAAGTGCATTCCCCTCCCTGATTCGGACCTGGCTGCTCTTTTTAGTCAGTGCTCCCAAGGCTAACTGGCTTCTTAGAGCGGGAGGTCACCATGAGGCCTTGTTGGTATTGGCTCCCAAATTCTCAGACTTCCATGTAACTCTCCTGTTTTATCCCGGGTTCCAGGGAGCTGATTGAATGCTAGAACACTGTGTTCCTCAGGGGGCCACAGCCAGTGTGGAGTCTGATGGAAACTTTCTCAGTTAGCTTAGGATACCTTGAGCAAATCACCGTAGTTCCCTGCTTTGGTCTCCATCCAGAAAAGGGTGGGCTGTACTTGACGCCTTCTAAGGGTTCTTTTTCGTGTCAGTGTTCTGTGACGCATACGTTTGTTGCCAGCACTCTGCCTATTTTTTAAAATTTTGCATCCTTTTTTAAAAAAGTATTTAAATTCAAGTTGGTTAACATACTGTGTAGTCTGGGCTTCAGGAGTAGAATCCAGTGATTCGTCTCTTACGTATGACACCCAGAGCTCATCCCGAAGAGCACCCTCCTTAATGCCCATCCCCCATTTGGCCCATCCCCTCACCCACCTCCCCTCCAGCAATCCTCAGCTTGTTCTCTGTATTTCAGAGTCTCTTACTGTTTGCCTCCCTCTCTGTTTTTATCTTATTTTTCCTTCCTTCCCCTGTGTTCATCTGTTGGGTTTCTTAAATCCCACCTATAAGTGAAATCATATGATATGTGTCTTTTCTCTGACTTATTTTGCTTAGCACTCTGTCTAGTTTGGCCTGTGTTGGTATTGCAGGGCAAGTCACTCAGCATTTCTGTATCTTTTTTTTTTTTTTCCCCTTGAGGCGGGGGAAGAGAAAGCGAGAATGTGAGCAGGGGACTGGCAGAAGGAGAGAGAATCCCAAGCAGGCTCCGCACTACCAGCACGGAGCCCGACGTGGGGCTTGAAGACACGAACCACGAGATCATGACCTGAGCTGAAATCAAGATTGGAACACTTAACCGACTGAGCCCCTCTCCAGGCGACCCTCAGCCTTTCTGTGTCTTGGTTCATTCGTTGTCTTAGGTTGGGTTCCCGGGAAACAAAACTGAGATGCAGAGTCTGGGCAGAACTTTCCCGGGGACAGCTCTTGGGAAGTATAGCTCAGAGGGTGAGCAAGGCAGGAGTGGGCAGGAGTTGACCTAGAAAACAGTTGTAGCCGAGGCCTCAGCAGACTCTAGGAGGGAGTTGGGAAGACCCTTCAGAGTTGATCCACATTGAGACAAGGGATCTGGCCACTGTCCCTTCATGAGCTGCTTCCTGGGAGGGGGTGTCCCTTTGGGTTGGGCATGGTACGTCCGAGGACGACTCCCATTGAGGGATTGCAGTGACCTGAGATCAGCCCGTATTCCCAGTAGCTGGGCGATCCAGGGAAGGGCACTTGACTTGTCCTTGACTCCGCAGGAACATACAGTTGCCCTTTGTCACGGAAAAGACGTGGATGTGAGCTTTGGTTTTACAGATAGAACGGGGCTATCTCTGTGAGCCTATCCCTATTAGCTAAGGAAACTGCTTGTAGAAGGTTGTGCTTCTGTGCTATTGACGTGCAAGAAAGAACTCAGAAGTGGAAGAAACTCTGGAAATGATTCGGCCTCTGTCTCGATGAAGAAGCCTCTTCCACAGGTTACTAACTGAGCAACGCGGGGGAGATGTGCATTTCTAAGCAAGAGCCCCGAATCCGGTGTTTTCAGGAGTCAGGCAGCTAAACATGAACAGTAAACAGCAGAGAGGAAGCATTAGAGAGTAGCGGGGATTGTGGCTGACCTGGTATTTATACTCAAATTCCTTTAAAAGATCTCTAACCAATGAAAACATTTGAAGGCTTTGCCCACATGTCAAAATTGTTCTGTAAGTTTCTGATAGATAAAAACACGAGGCTTGGTTTTACATCACTTAAATCACAAATTCTTCTTTTTTAAAAAAAAAATGTTTATTTTGAGAGACCGCGCTTGAGCAGGGGAGAGGAGCAGAGAGAGAAGGAGAGAGAGAATCCCAAGTAGGCTCTGCTCTGCCAGCCCAGAGCCTGATGTGGGGCTCGATCTCACAAACCGTGAGATCATGACCTGGGCCAAAATCAAGAGTCAGACACTTAAATGACTGAGCCACCCAGGCGTCCCTAAATGACAATTTCTTTAAAAAAAAAAAAATTTTTTTTAATGTGTATTTATTATTGAGAAACACAGCATGAACATGGGAGAGGCAGAGAGAGGGGGAGAGAGAATCTAAATCAGGCTCCGGGCTCTGAGCTGTCAGCACAGAGCCCGATGCGGGGCTTGAACTCAAAAACTGCGAGATCATGACCTGAGCCAAAGTCGGATGCTTAACGGACTGAGCCACCCAGCCGCCCCATCAAATTCTTTTACGGTGGCTTTGGCTTTCTGAGAAGTGGCACCAAGACTAGCAACCATTTTGTGAAACTATTTAGCACACGTACGACAGGCCTGGTTTGGAAGGGCAAAAAGACGAGGGGGGAAAAGAGCCCCCCCCCCAATTCCTATTAGACCAGAAATCCCCCTCAAGAACTTGCCTTTCTTCCAGCCCACCCCAGGCAATGCTGATCTCCTGTCATGTCAAAGTCATGATTGACAAGAACAGTGCCCAACTTTATTGGGAAAACCATATCTTACTGTCAGCGCTCAGTCTGTTCCGACCACGATGTAATTCTAGTAAACAGGACGTCGATATAGAATGGATTTTTTAAAACTATGAAACTACCGGGTGGGTCAGTCTGTTAAGTGTTCGACTTCAGCTCAGGTCATGATCTCACAGTTCGTGAGTTGGAGCCCCATGTCGGGCTCTGTGCTGACAGTTCAGAGCCTGGAGCCTGCTTCGGATTCTGTGTCTCCCTCTCTCTGCTCCTCCCCTGCTTGTGCGCTCGCTCTCTCCCCTTAAATAAACATTAACAAAAAGCTACGAAACTACTGTCCACTTGATACCAAGGTGGTGGTAAAAATGCAAAGTATGTCGCTTACCCTGAAGAGGTTGGCTGAGACATTGGAGGAAAAGACAATCGTTCAACACATACTCACTGAGCACCTACTATGTGCTCGCAGGCACCGTGCTGGGATTCAGCAGTGACCGAGACAGACAGAGCCCACCTCATGGAGCACAAAGTCTAGTGTAGACACCAAGGAATACATTCACCATGTGCTCTGGTCACTGCTGTGACAGAGAAGCACGCAATATATGAACGCAAGGGAAGTGCTCTGTGAGGACATGGGATTTAAAGGGAAGTCCTCAGGTTATGTCCTCATAACCTCATGTCCTAGAAGTGTCATCATGTAGTGAATCCATGAGAATACTGCATAGGACAGAGAAAGGAAGTAGCGAATAATAAGATGGTGTCTTAGTCTGTTCGGGCCGTTTCAGCAAAATGCCATAAACTGGGTGGCTCCCATTTGGCAGAAATTTATTTCTCACAGTTCTGGAGGCTAGAAGTCCGAGATCAAGGCCCCAGCAGATTCGGTGACTGGTGGGTGCCCACTCTCTGGTTCCTAGATGATGCCTTTTTAGTGTGTCCATCGTATGGCGAGAGGGGTGAGAGAAATTGCCCCAGCTCTTTTCTAAGAGCACGAATCCCATGCGTGAGGACTCTACCCTCATGACCTACACACGTCCCAAAGGCCCTGCCTCCTAATACGGTCAACTTTGGGGTTTGAATTTCAATATAGGAATTTTCGTGGGGACACCACCACTCAGTCCTTAGCAGACAGCACAGCTCCACGGGAAAGAAAGTCACAACAAGCATCGTCAAGAAGTGCTGAATGTTAAGTCCCATTCTCTCCATTGGCCATTGTTCACCTTAAGTCTGTTACTGTTGTATACCCAGCCCTTCTCTGCACCCCAAGATCATTATCAACTAGGTGATCTTCCAAGCCCCCTGTGCAAAGGGAGAGCCAAATTTGTTTTAAAAGAGTGCCATCTTCTGGCCAAACACTGCTGTTTCAAGGGCAAGCCAAAAGTATTCATGACTTTCGTTCTTGGGAAAACCAGATGTCGCCTTCACCCCAAATTTCCCCCAAGCGCATTTGTCCGTGCTCTCTGACTTTCCAGTTGCTACATGGATCAAAACCATTTCATGTGTAATACGCCCACAGCCCTTCCTCTGCCAAAATCCCCCAAGAAGGGTATTTTTTTGTTAGAAGCGTTTGCTTGCTCAGTTTCTGTTGTGTCCATACGATACTGGGCGAGGAAAATTGGCGGGAGCCAGGAGAGGTGGAAAGAATTGCTTTTACCTTAGAAGGGGCAGGGAGCTAATCTGGACAAAGCAGGAGAGAGGCGCTGGGAGGTGGGGAGAAGGGGTTTTCAAAAGCTGCCTTGTCGAGCCAGGAACCCAGAAAGCTGCGAGTCGTGGTACAGTATCCACGGCCCTTTACACTTTGGGAGTCTAAATTTTGTTTCTTTTAGATACTATACTGTACCGGGAGCCCCCTTAGAGGTCCCCCAACGGCCTACATTATTCTGGGCTATGTATATTCAGAACATTTAGGACTCCGTGCCTGGCATCCTGAAAGGTGTCTAAAAGTCCTGTAAGTTCGCTAAATGGGATCTCCCTGGAACCAGACAGAAGGATCTCAGCAGTTCTGTCCCGGAAACACCACATTTCAGCTGGTAAACTGTGCACCCCGGACTGGATATACATTCAGTAGGTCTCGCAGTGAATTAGATTTATATTAAGGGAAGGAGGTCTTCCTGCCCATGATGTGTCTTCAGCTGACCACCGGGGGCCATTGTACCAGCCCTAACCCGTAAGTAAGCGTGGGAGGCACAGATGTGGGGCCCCTCCATGGGCCCAAAGAGGCTGCCAGTGGTAGATGGGCTTTGTATTTAGACTGTGCAGAGCAGGCCGGAATGTGTGTTCTAAAGTCAAGATCACGGGGAGGTGGAGTCTGCGGGGACAAGCTAGAGGAAGTAAAGGCAGATCAGCTTCTCTGACAAACCGTCAAGCCACCTTTGCCATATCAGCCATTTTTAAAAAATTTTCTAATGCT